TTTTGTTTTTGAATATGTCTTTATAATAAATGAAAAAAAGAATGAAAGAGAATGTGTAGGAAAATGTTAAATGTGATAAGAGAGAGTATAAGATAAGAGAGAGAATAAATAATTAAGCAAAAAATGTATTAAATGTTAAAGACAAATTCTAAATTGAAGCTTATAAAATAAATCATATTTTTTTTATATATTTGGAGCTTATAAATAATATCAAAGGGGTATTTCTCATGCTTGCTATGATTTGTATTTGGACCAAAAGGGCTTAGCATTTAATGAGGAAGCAAAAGTGCCCAACTATAAAAACTAATAATGAATAATAATTCCGCTCAAATCATGTGCCAGGTTGAAGGGCTCATATACGTAGCAAACACACGCTTTGTCGACACGTCAACCTCGTTTGAGTTTCAATTATGAATAATCTTAATTACACAAACTGTAAATACTATTCTCTGGTCCTATTTATAAACTTTAAATTTGAAGGAGACGTGGTTTATTTTATAAACTTTAATTTAGTATTTGTTTTAATAGTTAATGTATTTTTCAATTTTCTCTTTAATTATTTATTCTCTCTCTTTATCATACTCTCTCTTCTTGTTACATCTATCCACACATTATTTTTCATTTATTATAAGGTGTATTATCCACACATTATTTTTCATCTTTTTTTTCATTTATTATAAGGGTGTATTTAAAAATAAAATTATATTTTTAATCTATTTATTGTTTTAAACTAATTTTAACTAACAGTCTGTCATCTATGAATTAGTTATTCTAAACTTATAATTAGGAACGAAAGGGAGAATTAATTTACAGTTTTAACATCCATAAGGAATGTTACTCATATTTCGAGAATGATACTCGGAATCACAATAGAAATGCAGGACACAAACCTTGAAACTTGCCCGCACCACCAATGACAGGAGAAGTCAACGGACAGCCTGTTATTAATGGACATCCACGATTGATTCCACTTCAGGCGATGAGAGCTTCCTCTCAGCAGTATTTTGCTGCATCGTCGTCTACAATTGCATTTTCAGGGACGCATTTATACCAAGACTCAAAATATGAGACCTTATTTTCGCGGGTCTCACCAAAACTAACAAGTGCTGCCCCAATGCAACTGGGGCCATATATTCCATACGATCGTGCACGTGTTCACAATCATGAACAATATAGAGAGGGCCTCTAGAAGAAGACCAGAGGTGGCTGACTCAATATCATATGGTTTCTGTTCTTCCATTTTGAGATTGGAAAAGCACCAGTTGCTGCAGAAATATTCAACCCAGTCAATTGGGGGCTCTTGACCACGCCACACTTGATGCTATATACTACCTCCGGTCCTAATTATAAGACCCAGTTGACTTATTTGAAGAGATTAAGGAAGCAAGTTAAGTTAGTTATTTGTAATGAATAAATGTTGTCATTTCTTAAATATCCTTACTAATTAAATATATTGGCTAGAACTATCATTATTAGAAGGACTATCTTGGAAAAAAATGCATAAATATGAGAGACAAAATGGATTGGGGTCTTATAATTAGGACCAAACAAAAAGTCAAATGGGGTCTTATATTAAGGACCGGAGGTAGTATAACATTGCATATCATATACATTCATGTCATCTCAGTCTTCAGAAATATATTGATCTGTTATCTGACATATACATAAACTCACGAAACTAATCATTCCATTGTTTCAATGTATCAGAACGTGGTCACTGCCACCAACTTTGCCCTCTTAATTAACTGGGTCCAATCCTCTGACAATGGCGGTTGGTGCAACCCACCTCGTACTCATTTCGACATTTCCGAGCCCGCCTTCATGAAAATCGTCGATTGGCACTCTGGCATCCTTCCTGTCATAAACTTTGTGTTGGAAGTATCAAGTATAGGTTAACGTGAAGATAAATCTCACGTTGATCAAATCAGACTGAATAGATGGCCACAAGTAGAAAGAATCATGAAGTTAGTTAATGTCTTAAAGTTTTAAGTTAAGAAGTGGTTATGGCTTTTGGAACCTAACATTTTGAAGTAGCTAGAGTGACAATTAAGCAATGATTAATGATTAATGCTTGTGTTTGTAAGGAGCGTGGAGGGATTCGATTCTCTGTGGACGGAAATAGGTACCGCCGGCTGTTGTACGTACGTGATGAATGTGGGAGGTGAGATCGAGTTTTATTAATTTTCACGATCAGTTCATCGGATTACCAAAGGAGAACCTGTCTTCTGTACGTACTAGCTCGGGTCTTTAATATATATGAAAGCTCGTTTGATTTTTATTTTGATCTTAAATATAAGATTCTAATTTACTATGCCTCTAGTATTTATTTATTTTTTCTCAATGTAGTCCTTGTAATAATGGTAACTTTAGCCAGTGCACTTGATGAACGAGGATATTTTAAGAAAGATAATACTTATTTATTACAAATAACTAATTTAACTAATATTTTTAACCTATTCAAATTAATTAACTAATTTTTATGTTAAACATAAATGGTATTATGGAAAATATGATCTGTCAACATGTATTGTTTTTATTACTCTTGTTGGGACCACCCACGGATTGTAGCTAAAGGCCTTATATGCATTATGACCTTGTACCATATGGGCACATATTGTCTTGCTCTCCAATTTATTTTATTCTATTTAAATTTATAATTTTTTTGTCTAAAGTGTTCCAACAAAATTGATTAACTACATATTTTTCTAAGAAACCAACACATATTTTTAACAAATAATTAACTGATTTTTTAATCATGCAAATTAGTTATATATATAGTTCTTATGCCAAGAATCGGAGGGAGAGTAATTAAAATAGAAAAGAAAGAAACATTAAGTATTTGTCTCGTGAGATCTGCTTGAATTACACGTACGAGAGCCGCCTAAAGTGTCCTTATGCAGTTGATGTCCCGTCCCGCATGTTGCCGGCCCTTGACGTTCGTTAAGAAGAAGATTATTACTCTTCCGATCCTTAATATAGGATCTAATTATTGAGTTGGTTTTAGTCCTAAATATAAGACTCATTTTTCATATTTATCAATTTTTTCTAAATTACTCATATGGATACTCTCTCAACCATAATTAAGCAGAAGAGGGAGAGGGGTATTAAAAAAGACGATTATGGTGTTTTAAGAAAAACGTGTCACATTTTTTATAATTAACTAACTTACCTAACTTTCTTAATCTAATTAAATTACTTAAATGAGTCTTATATTAAGGACCGGAGGAGTATTATTTGGTACCTATAAGCCGTGATTGTTGTTTATTAAATTTAAGATCTTGGGATTTATTTTATTTGAAATTTGTTAATTAGTCATCTACGAAGTAATATCATCACAGTTAAATCAAAGCTCTTAAACAAACCATTTAATAATACGTGTGAACAGAATTAGAATTAGGATTAGCAGGTACTATTATTTGTGACCAGGGGCCATGATAAATAACTTGCCTCACAAAATTCCATAATTAATAAGTGACCCAAATCTGAATTTTGTCTTTGCAAAAACATGGACGAGATCTAGACAACCTGTTTCCCAGTCATCAGGTCGGGAGAAGCTTGACCATCACTGAACTAGAGAGATGCTTCTCTTTGCCATCACGTTAAACTCAAGCAATCTTATCACAGCCTGGACAATGACATACATAATTTCCAAAAAAAAAGCCCTGTCCCCCCACACCCCTAAAATTATTTTTATTCCATTTTATTTAAAAAAAGTTCAAAACATTTTTTTTAAGAAAAAAAACCTCAGTATCAACTCACATCAATAAAGGGGCATTTTATTCCCCTTTTACAATTTCAGATATTTGTTTTCATGAAATTAAATATTGGGATTTTGATTATATTTTAGCAGAGACAAGTGCATGATAGTTTTGCAGTATTAGTATTATGATTACCAGAAACAGACATAATATGGTCACATGAACGGACGTGACATGCTCTAGTAGAGAGCATCTCTGATCGGTGCTTAATTGTAGATTTCCTATTTATCTGCTTATTATATAAACTATCATTGATCTATTAAATATTCCAATCTTGACCCTATTTAATTACTTCTTAAATTGTATATAACACTGAAATTTTTAAACATCTGAATATATACACACTGAAATATGCATGAACCAAATCGTCGCATATAAAGTCTCCCCGGATTTGTTTGGCAGCGATGTTGTCTATAAATAATAATTATTTTTTTATAATATATCAGTGAAGAAATCTTAATTCTCTCCAATTAAATAGTTTTCATATTGACGGCAAGGGAAGAAAAATAGATCTAGTAGCTTTTTTTAAGTATAACGTAATGCATACCATAATATCTTTAGAAAAATACACGAATTTTCTCTCAATTATGTTGAGATTGTATAATATTGTTAAAAAGTTAAATTTTAAAAATAGAAGATTGCTATTAAGTTTTAATAAAGGGGGGTGTGTTTATTATTTTATCATTTTATAAATATGATGTTTCTTTTCAGTTTATTACTAGTATCTTTTATTTATATTTTTTGGTAGGTTTAATAGGATTGGATTTTCATTGATGGGGTCTATTTAATTTTACATCTTACTTTAAATCACTTTTATCTTTAGCATTCATTAAGCTGCCTAAATTGGCCAATGAATACAGCAGACAATCTGATGAATTGATTCTCTATGATCTTCTATTTAATTTAAGAAAAGCAGACAAACTTCCATAAAAGTTAAAACCTTCCATAAAATAAATTAAAATTTAATTTGTCCTTAAATAAAATAAGGCTGTGGAGAGGACTACTTGTATTTCTTTTCAAGACAAGCAGCTTGAGATGCAGTATAAATAGGGCGAATAGGTAGATGTGATTAGGAAGACAGTGGTGAAACAAATATATATATATGTGTGTGTGTGTGTGTGTGTGTGTGTGTGTGTGTGTGTGTGTGTGTGGTGTGCGCATAGCGAGCTGTGAGGGGAGGAGGTAGAGAGCTCATGGAACGCATAGGGGTCACGATGTGTAACTGACAACCGAAAAAGAATAACCCCTGGAAACAAAAAGAGAGGGGCCGAAAAAAAAAAAAAAGCTGTAATCTTTTCCCTGGAATAACGCTTCCTTGGATTTCCCGGGAAAATTAACAGCCGGGGAACCACTCGTACGCATCTGGTTCGGGAGTCTGAGAGAGTTGAATTCAAGGGGTTCAGCTTCCTTGCTCTGGCCCCTATGGACGAATCTACCGGCCAATCACTGCTAGGAATTCCTCCGTCCTCGACTGCTCCGCTCAATTCACATTCTGACATGTCGTCTAGAGCTTCTTTTTCCCTTGACAACCTAACCCCCTCTCGTCATGTCGACCGTATGATAAACTCCAACCACTATAAATCACCTTCCAGGACAATCTACTCTGACAGGTTCATACCCAGCAGATCTGCTTCTAAATTCGCTCTCTTTGATATATCGACACCGACAAATTCACCGGCAGAGGGACGGGAAGACAGTTCCAGCGCCTACACTAACCTTTTGCGGACTGCGTTATTTGGACCTGATGCCGGAGTCATATCTCCGGTTACTCCTGAGAAAAGGAGCTCACTTATGAACCCACCGAACAGAAATATATTTCGTTACAAAACCGAGACTCGCCAGTCTATGCACTCTCTTTCGCCGTTTATGTTCGATGATGATGTGGTGCCGGGTGCCAGTCCCTGCCCTGTTAAGGCTCCTCGGAAGGTTCCCCGGTCGCCTTATAAAGTAAATTCTCTGTCCTCGTTGTTTTACTCTACGAGTTTTATAAATTGGTTGTTGGGGCTTATGGAGATTATAATGTTGAACTAGGTTCTGGATGCTCCTGCGCTGCAAGACGATTTTTATCTGAACCTTGTGGATTGGTCTTCGCACAATGTCTTGGCTGTGGGGTTGGGTAACTGTGTTTATTTGTGGAATGCCTGTAGTAGCAAGGTGAGTCCTGGTTCCCATTTAAAATATTCGCACAATGAAAATTGCGCTCGATCTTCATACCTTTCTATCTGGATATGATTAGAGGGCAATGCTTATGCTCAATTTCAGTGCATCAACTTTCTATGTATGGTTGCCGATGTGGCTATGAGCTAGTTGTTGTTTAGTCATGCAAAGCTGCAAACTGAGAAGTTTCTCTGTGGTTCAACTCCATTCTGATATGCTGAATGCAGGTGACTAAATTATGTGACTTGGGGATTGATGATAGCGTTTGCTCAGTTGGCTGGGCTCATCATGGTACACATCTTGCGGTTGGAAGTAGCAATGGTAAAGTCCAGGTAGGAGTTTATGTGTCGATTATATTAGGTTAGCCTGCCCTCTCTTCCATTAATATTCATGGCATTTCAGGCGTCATTTGCTTTAATCACTTGCTTTTCTTTATCTTACATCAGTCCTTACAAGGTTTACTTGACCTCCGTATTGTGTTTGTGCCATCTTTCTCTTCCATTGAAGGAAGTTAAAGTTAAAGACGAAGAAAAGATGTTAAAGTTTGTTTCTTAGGGAAGGGACTTGTAAATGAATGGCAATAACATGTGATGACATGCACCTAAGCTTAGCAACATAACCACAAAGCTTTGTGATGGCTAGTTAGTTATTTGTTCTGATTCCTCAACCTCTATGTGGTGAGTACACCACCAGCAAAGAAGAAGAAATTCAAAGAGAACGGAGCATTGTAACTTGTAAGGTGTCTATAATGATTTTTATGCAATTAAAAAAACTGCTTGCCCATATTTGTTTCATAAGATGCGTTAAGTAAGTTGATTGGGGAAATAAACAGAATGCAATCCAAAGTAAATCACGTAACTGATGACCCAATAAATTCGTCTTTCTTTAGCTCATAATGTCAGTTCATCTATGTGGGGAAATATGAGGTATAGCAATTTGTTTTGTACATTGTTTGCATAACCTGACTTTGGTTCCTGATTTGATGCCTGACATTCAATTGTCTTCAAACTAGTCTTTTAAAATGTCAATTTGTTGAATTCTTTCGTACGCTTATGTCATATTTAGCTGCATGATTCTGTGATTCCATGAACCTTTATGCCTTAAGACTGTTTCTCAGCAACAATTTTTTTTTTTTTTTATTTATGCCTCGTACTATTCTCCATGTAGATATGGGATGCTTCTCGATGCAAGAGGATAAGAATTATGGAGGGTCATCGTCTACGTGTCGGGGCCTTGGCCTGGAGTTCTTCTCTTTTGTCTTCTGGGGGCCGAGATAAGAATATTTATCAACGAGATACACGTGCACAAGAAGACTATGTCAGTAAATTATCAGGGCACAAGTCTGAGGTTAGAGGGTTTTTTTTTTTTTTAAATATATATAAATATAACATATATATATTGCTTCAGCTTCATCTCATCAATTGACTTGGACTGCTTTTTATTTGTACTGCTGCAAAATGCTTGATTACCCATGGTTCATGCAAGTCTTGGTCTCTTTTTATTTGTACTGCTGCAAAATGCTTGATTACTCAGGGTTCATGCAAGTCTTCTTCTGAAACTAGAGCAATGCATGCTAAACCAATTTTTGGCATGGATTGCCAAGAATGACCACTGTTGCTTATGGTTAATTGTTTTCTTTTAAAACAAGCATGTTGCACAATACCTATATTTAGCCTGAATTTAATTCTTTTTTCTTCAAAGGTTTGTGGACTGAAGTGGTCTTATGATAATCGAGAGTTAGCATCTGGGGGAAATGACAACAGAGTATGTGGTTGCTAACCTTTTCACCAAAATGACCCTACTTCCTATTATTTTACTAGTTGTCAGGCTTTAATTTATTTCATATATTTGCAGTTGTTTGTCTGGAATGCACACTCAACCCATCCTGTCCTCAAGTACTGTGAGCACACAGCAGCTGTCAAAGCTATTGCATGGTCTCCTCATCTTCATGGACTTCTTGCATCGGGTGGGGGAACTGCTGATCGGTGTATTCGTTTCTGGAATACGACAACAAACTCACATTTAAGCTGTATGGACACTGGAAGTCAGGTTATCTTCTTGTCCTTTGTCTTTATACTTCACATTTGTGCCTTCTAAATTTGTTCTTGTTGAAGACTTAGTTTTTTATTGAAATACAAAAGGATTGAGAATTTCACTAATTAATAAAAAATACGTTTATTTTGTTGGAGTGTAACTCTGGCAACTCATTTAAAGCTGAAAGAGCAACAGACTGCCAAAATGTGATGAACGGAACACTCCAATTAAACTGATGGAAGGTTTAGTCCTACTAGAGAGGGGCAAAAGAATATGTACAAGAAAGAAAAAGCAAAAAGGGTATGGGCTTAGTGAATGGCTACGCAGACATAGTTCTCTTCTAAAAGGATGATTCAGATATCTTGCTGAGAAATTACTGACACAGTTGTCTTGCAATATATTTTACTGAAAATATTTTAAGAGGTTAAATTTATATGTATTAAAAAGGGAAAAAAAAGAAGAAGAAGAGGAAAGTCATTACTATATCTTGGGACTCAAGTACTCTGGAGTTATGACCTTTGATGTGAGATGTTTTGTTATAATTTTATTTTTATATTTATGGCCGATGGAAAGTGATGCATTATAATTTATTGCTTCTAGTTCCCATAATACGAATTAATAGCATTATCATCACCATTAGATTTGGACTTCACTTATTGAGATGGGGATGAAGGGAACCCCTCCCTCTTTTCCCTCCTCCAAGTCCCCACACACCCGACTCCTGTTTGTTTCACTATGCAAGCAGACTGATCCTTGAACCTAATGTTTGACAGGTTTGCAACCTTGTTTGGTCCAAAAATGTCAATGAACTGGTAAGCACCCACGGCTACTCCCAGAACCAGATAATAGTTTGGAGATACCCTTCCATGTCAAAGGTACAAATCATAACTTCTGTGATACAGCAGGCATCTCTTTTATATTTCTTTGCTTCATCGAAACATAATTATACAACCTGTCCTTGGTACAGCTGGCAACTCTAACGGGCCACACATATAGAGTTCTTTATCTCGCCATCTCTCCTGATGGGCAGGTACTCGATCACCTGGCACGCTGACATCTTCCAGTTTGACCGAATAGTTATGAATGAGTCCATGGGGATTGCTAGATATTAACATGCTATTTTTCTGGTTGCCATCACTTTTACTGTTTCAGACAATTGTCACTGGAGCTGGAGATGAAACACTCAGGTTCTGGAATGTATTTCCGTCTCCTAAATCTCAGGTAAAATATTTACTTAGAGAAAGAGAAATAACTTTTGCTGTCCATGTGACTTACTCCTCTTCGACGCCTCTTGAACATGAATACGAAGATGAGTCATTAATATCATCTTGCAACTGTATTGGAATCCCCATACACTGGCTTGTAAGGTCGCGTTTTATTTATGTACTCGTAATATGATCTGCGACATCTCCAACCCACCCAAACCCCCCCCCCCCCAAAAAAAAAAGGCTTGTTGAGTTGGATTTCTAGTTGCCCAGCATTCTCAAATTTCGTGGCCTCAAAGATTCCACCGAACCCCCCCCCCCCGCCCAAAAAAAAAAGAACTTGACATAGACAGGGTACATAATGACTGATATAAATAACATAACCAAAATCCAAAAGTAAATGGTCTTCTGGTGCATCCCCTTGAAAATTTGTCCATTCTTCTGCGCTGTTTCCTTTTCTTTTACTCTCTTGTTAATCGTTCGGAATTCATGCTTTGATGCAACAAAAGATCCATATCAATTTATATGGGACTCGGCTATTTATGCAGAATACTGACAGTGAGATTGGCGCATCGTCCCTCGGAAGAACTATTATTAGGTAGCTCTCCCGTGGCATATTTCCAAGTTCAAACTTTCAGTAACTGCAGAGTCATACTTCAAAACAGCGTTGTCGTGCAACTTGCAAGACGTAGAGAGATCTGCCTGACTAATTTGAAAGACTGACAGGGATCTAAAAGCCGCAATGTAGTCGCAAATGATAGATGTCTCAACCAAAGTACCAGTCCCATAAGTTTCATATTATCTTATTCAAAGGGAAAATAAAGTGAAAAGAAATCCGCCTTAGATTGCAGATGTGATGAGGGAATAATGGTCAACTTTGTTATTCCTATAGTTTTTTAATTCTTTCTAGCAATGCTTCCTTGCATTGTATATTTAAAGTAGTTAAATAGAGCTGGCCAAAAAAAAAAGGGTAGCCAAATAGAGAAGAGACCTTGGCACATCTGCAACATCCAAAAGTTATGTATATAATTATTTCCTTTTGGGTTGATATGTCTTGCCATAAATTTCTGCTTGCTTTACTATTGATATTACTTTTGTTATACTCGCATCTCGTGGTTTAGAAGGTAGAATCCGGGATCAAGTTCCTCCATATATTTAGAGGAAAACTGTTATTTATTGAGTTGGAATTCAATTAAAGGCCCATTTGAAATAGTAGTTTTTTAATCATGATTTACGGAGTACGAGGTAAGTATGAGGTAAGTATGTGACAGAAGTTTTATTTGGACTTATATTAAATATGGTTTTCAAATGGGGCCTAAAAAAATTAGACTAGAAGGAGCATGTGCTCATAAATCTTTATAGAAAACAAAATGTGCCAAACTATCTGTTCTTTTTAATGGTTGCACATTCAATATCGAGACATTAGGACATGCTGGAAGAGGCTGTTCTGATGTATCTAACCATGTTAAATGTCATATGTAGGTTTTTATTTTCTGGCAGAAAATGTTATTTCCGGTTCTTAATATAATAACTAGTTGATCAATTTGAGTAAATTAAAAAAACTAGTTAAGTTAGTTATTTGTAATAAATAAGTGCTGTTTTTCTTAAAATATCTTTACTAATTAAGTGTATTTATTAGAATTACTATGATTATAAGAACTACTTTAAGAAATAAATAAATATGGATCTTATATTTAAAACCAAAATAAAAGTTAAACGAATTTTTATATTAATGCAAGAGGCAGCATCATATGTATCTGATTCGCAAAGGGAATTGCCTAATTTCACATGCAAGTTAGGTCCTTCACTACCCCTGATCCCTTAATATTGTTTGTTTTTCACGTACATTGCTGTACGTTGTCGTTTGTCCCCCAAGTTTTTGCCTTAAAAGGACCCCCCCATAAACCAAAAACAACAGGGCCGTTAGGAAGAGACAGCAAGGACTGCCCAAGGAGAACAAGGCAACAGATAATCCGCTTGAAGATGACATGTTTAGAGTTTAATCCTCGATTTTTATTGACTCATTAAAAATTACACTTGGTTATTCCATTTATGTCACGGCTACATATTCCTAGTCTAGTCCCTTTCCGCCGCCAATAGCAGTCATTGCCATTTTACTGGAGCCGATATGGTCAATATTTTATTATTCAAATCTTGAGAACAAAATAACTTGAATGACAAACGATGCATTAGTTTCCCACAACAGTAGAATTCTATAACATCGAAAGCCTCATTAAAACGGAGGCTGAGGAAATCAGAAATGACAAAGATTAAGAAAGAATATCCATATTCAAGAATATACTAATTTTTTTCGTTCCTGCTCTTGAATTACAAGAGAAGAATCAGAGAATTCGTCAGCAGTATTATCGAGCGAAGGACGCATCATTTGAGGTTGCCAGAATTGAGAGGGTCGCATGGGCGATGTTGGGTCCCATCACATACGTTATTGAGAGGGGTAATCTCCTGACACCGTGGGATTGATCTCGCCGGAGGAAAGCAACAGTCGCAATCTTTTTGGCACGGCCGTGGTAGGTCCAAGTTCCTTGGAGAAGCTTCTTGCTCGCCCTCTTCGTGGGGCCCACTAGAGGGTTTGGGTGCTGACGCTTCCTTCAGCGGGCCCCAGCATTCGACTTTGTTGAATTCTGGCATGTTTGAGTGAAAGAAAACCCAAACCAGAGATTCCTGCAATTCTGGATAATTGTTGAACAAATTGCCATCCCCATGAACAAAGGCCTTCAATACCTGCAAATATTAGCACAGGCAACACCCTCACTCATTCTCTGTTTTCTGCCTTTAATTGATCGGTAAGGTTTAATTAGTAAATGATGGGTAGGAAAACTCACCAAAGGAAGCTCTTTGCAGAAGATGAAGTATCTTAGCCTGGCGAACAGGTCTAATAGAAAATGGCCTCCACTGATATGGCAGTGAACATGAAGGTACATGTTTCCTTTAATCTTCACCCACTGTGCCACAACTTCGTCCCTTTGTAACTTTTGGTACCACCCCTGCAACTGCACGCCATTTCTCACTTTTATTTTCAAACTCGCACTCCGTTCTAAGATCATAACATTATTCTCGTCAAACAAATTTGGATAATTGGTTGCTAATGTCCCTTCTTCCTCTCAGATTGGACATTACTACATCAGCCATTATGTCTTTTTATTGAGATGAGAAATATACCTGAGAGTTGTTTATGGTCTGGGAGATGGCGAGGGTGAGTTTAGAGGTTAAGTCACTGTGGGTTAGGGTATAAATCCTCGGAAACTTCGCCGGGTGCTTATCTTGGTCTACTCCTAAGAACAAAATCTTCAACTTGGAAGATTCAAACATAGAGGGGCCGAACAACCTAGCCACCTGATCCAACCAAACAAACAAAAACGAAAGTTCATATTTTTATCGAAAACCCATCATCCCCAAACAAAAAACATAAAGAGATCGATGAAAAGAGACAAGCACAAATACAGGAACAAAGGGTTGGCTGTTCTTGCGGATGGGCAATCTTCTGTGAGGAGAAACAGAGATTTGTTGCTTAGAGTAAGAAGGCTTGAGCTCAGAAGGCAGAACCGGAGCAGTAGACAGAGTAGCCATGTGAGAGAAGATGATTTAGTGAGAGGCTTTGCAAAAGTGAAGCGGTATAAAAGATGGTTGCAAGCTGAGACTTGAAAGCTTGGTGGCGTTGCTTGAGGATTAGGTTATGAGATCAAATCAAATATGAATGAAGAAATGAATGATGTAGCAGAGTATTGTTGTGGGGCATGAAGAAGCGTGTAGTGAGAGAAATGGGGGCTGCCTTTTTATACGAACGGTAAGGGAAGGGAAGCTGAGGGATGTTGGGGGAGGGAAGGCTTTTGCCGTTGCTTGAAGTCATTGCCTTATTGGGGTGCTGACACTTAGTACCCTTCGACACGATTCTCTTAATTGAGTCCTCCACGTGCCCTCTGCGTCCTGTGATTTTATTTTCACAAAGAAATATATGTATACTTTGAGTTCATTTGATTGATGCTAAAATCAAGGTGATATCACCTTTGGGGAAAAAAGGGGATAATGTCCTTTACCAATTTGTCTTCAAATATTTTTTTTAATTGCAAACTGGATACCGCTACTTTAACAGGAAAATATTACATCATAACTCCCTCATCACTCTCTGGACAGAGGTGAGTTTGATCAAAGATACAAATACACTGTTAGCAGTATGAGAATACCTAGTTAGGAAGTCCACAGTTCGGTTACCTTCCCAATGAACATGATAAACCTGTACCATCCCATTTTTTAAAGGTAGCCGCCTAATTTCCATTAATTACCATTAATATATTCAAATGCTGAAATGCTAACACCTAACCTCCATTAATAAATACTACTACCTCCTATCTTTAATGTAAAAATTTAGTTTGATATTCAATTTGATCATAAATAATATAAAAATCCAATCCATTTTGTCTATCGTATAATATATTTATATATTTTTTCATGATAGTTCTTGTAGCAATTACACATATTAAATATTTCATCAAATGATAGTTTTAGTTAATACGTATGATTATTAAGGATATTTTAGAAAAATTAAACCTACTTATTACAAATAACCAACTTAATTAGTTTTTTTAATCTACTCAAATTAGTTAATTAACTCTTATATTAAGGAGTCAGGGTAATATATACAACCTACCCCTTAAAATTTCTTTTCCATCCCATAATTTCTTTTGGTCATCCATCCTAAAATTATTTCCCATAGAATATTTAATAGTAGCATAAGATCTATGAAAAACCACACTATTAGTCAAATTCAGCTCATTCTCCATGCAACGTAAAGGATTTTTTTTTTTGACCGGGCAACTTAAAGGATTTACTTTGGTAGTTTTTATTCGTTGTTTTTAATAGTACCTCAGTTAATTCTTTTCATTAAAATTTTGTTATAAGCTCTCAATAGGAATTGCTTTGACAAGAGGCGTAGGATTGTATTTTTAGAAACCTGCCCTCTTGGTCCGAACAAAATCATACTTTTGGGTAACCATGCGCTCACGGTAGTTAATTTTAAAAGGAGGGATATTGATGACGGTGACTCCCTTTATAGACGATAACAGTGGAAAAAAATTATTACTACAGTCACAGGAACAGTTTGCAAATCAATATTTTTAAAGATAAAGCCTCTCAGGAAAAGAAAAACATATACATTGCTGTGAATTTTATTCCCTGCACATCCTCAGATTCTGCCCTATCTACATTCTACCCAAAACAAAAAAAACGGAAAAAACAGGAAACATAACATTAAGATCAGATATGGCCAATAAGATTTTGACACGTGGAAGATCAGGGATCTGTATCCCGGATTGCAATAATGCAAAAGCTAAACAAACAACATATATATATATATATATATATATATATCCAAGAAACCTAATTTCCGGTCTGCCGGAAAAAAGCCGAATTTTCTGTTATACATGCATACTGAATTCTTCCAGAAATATGTAGCGACAACAAGAGGATGAAACTAAACAAACGAAGTAGTCGTACAAAAAATAGATTGAGGAAACAAATATGGGGGGCAAATTTGTCATATAAATATATAAAGTGCCACTTATAGGGAATATTGACGGAGTCGGCCATGGGAACCGGCTTTTTTTGTTTTTTTTGGAAGTTATGAAGAGCCATTATCTGCAGACAAGGAATTTATTATTGATGCATTCGGTGCCACAATAAAACCAAAAAAAAAAAAGCCTGAATGTCAACACTTTTTTGTATTTACACGTTTCTTGAGACTGGTATTAACAATTTTCGGGATAAAATTTAAGAAAGGATATATTTGTATATATTTGCGTTATATTTATATAGATTGTTATCAACCGCTGATAAGATAAAACACAGATACGAAACTCCTATTTGTTTTAGTTCGGTGCGGAACCAGGCGAATTTCAGGGGGAGCAACGGCGTCGTCTGCTCCCACCTGCTCTGAAAAACCGATTGCACAGCTCGGCTATTGAATGACCTGTGCAATTTTGCTTTTTTTTTTTTTTCTTTTCTAAGAAAAAGAAATCAAAACTCCACGATTTTAAAATATTTTTCAAAAATTAGTTAAAAGATACACAGCTTTATCAATATCAAATCCGTAATTTGCACAAGGAAGATGCCACATAAAGTTGCACTCTGCCATTGTATGGAAGTTAAGTTATGCAAAGCCTTTAAAAATCATTTGCTAATCAATTTTTTAATAATTAATTTATCTCTGGTCTTTTCACAAATGATTTAAACCCATTATATGTAAGTTAATTATCCATAAAAAAGTATTTTCACATAAATCAAGATAAATTCCACTCCCATAATTACTCCACACGTTATAAAATCACATTTAAAATCATAATCTAGTTTTCATCCTATATTCCGCTAAATGGAGGCATGCAGAGGTAGAGCCCGAACTGCGCCCAAAGCTTCGGAGTATTATAGAATGCCATAACCCGTCAATGCTTCCCAGGTCCCAGCCTCGTCACCACGAGTTTTGCGAAGTAGTGAATTTTTTTTTATTTCTTATATTTGTGCCCATGGCCCATTGGTCATCCCGTCATCATTTCGCGCACCATCCTAAACACACACACACACACACACACACAGAGTGCTGGCTCAATAGTAAACAGAAATTATTTGATTTCCCATGGAGAGGCACAACAACAAAAACTGACATCACACATGAAAATTCCCGCAGGTTATTGGGGTGAGTTTTCACTTTTTCAGAGCAGCATTATTAAAATTAAACACAGACATTTAAGCAAAATGAAAGATGAATACATATAAATATGAGTGTGTGTGTGTGTGTGCATGACGTGTGTTTCAAGGCATTCGTCTCTCTGGTGGCCCTATAACCAACTCTGTCTCCACGCCATCCGTTCCGTCATTCCGGTGCTCAACATCCTGCTCTTCAGGCGAATTCCGCCGCCGCAGTTCATCGCCACACTGTGATAACTGACAACGAAATGTTGAGAAAACATTCCAAAAAATATTAATAAGCTCACTTTTACCATTTGAGGTTTCGATGCGTTTTGGGACTTGTCAATATCTATACACATATATATCATGAACATGGAAGAAAACCTGGATTGGTTCCCACTTAGTCAGAGACGCTTCTGCCCAGAAATTTAAGTTTGAATGTATGAGAAGGGGGAAAAGATTTCTCACCTGCTCCCGTAACTCTTCATTTATGTCCAGTAAGCGCTTTTCCTGAAGAATACTCAAACACCGAGAATATAATTTCTAGTAAGCAATCTGAAACATGTATACAAGGAGGAAATTACATACGTGCGCATTGCAAGAAGCAGCATTACCTCTTCTCTTAGCTCCTGGATCTGTTCCTTCAACAGTTGATCCTGAGGCACCATTGTCAAGTGTTTCAGCCTTGGTTTTAAAGTGTTAAATTTGAGGATTAACTATAGCTAGCTCCAACCATTTAGTGAGCTCTATAAATATATATATATATATATATTTATATATATAGAACAGCAATTATGTATACAGTGGATGCTAACAGCCGTAATTGATCTAAAAGCTGACTAGAGGAAATCGCAAGAAGCGATCCAGCGTACCTTTCTTGCCCTAATTTTACTTAAGCTTTGTTCCAGCTGGTTCTCTGTCTGACGTAACTCGTCAATAGAACACGCATCCAAACCATCTCCCAGAAGCTTCCTGCAATCATGACAACCGCCTTGTATATATACTATATAGCTTTACCAATATGAGACCAGCTGCACTTAAGAAAGGGCTGATGGGAAATTAACCTTTTAAGAACTTCAAGATGCTCTATCTTCTTAGTCATGTTAATAGTACCTTCCTTCAAATGCAAGCATGCAAACAACGAATTAGAAGCATTGATCTGTCTCTCACCAATATGCCATCAAATTATGCGTTAAAATCAATCAAACGTGGCGGAGTGAAATGTCTCTTTCATGCCATCGATTTTCAGAAAACGAAGCCAAAGAAGCAACTCTAATTCATGCTGACGTATCAAAGGAGCGAAAAAAAAAAGAAGAGAGAGAGAGAGAGGGAGAGATATTCCATCCTCAAGGAATGCCCTATGGTTTTCAATGGTGAGCGTATCAAATGAACTAATGACGGCACTGTTTATATTCAAATCTTCAAAATACTAGTCGGTAATATTTCATGAGATTGATTTAAACGCAGATCTCGAAAATGCATGCCTTTCTTATCAATCGATAGACAATAGTCACAACACTATATGAGTAAAGAGTCATAAATATATAACCAAATCAACTCATCCATATTTAGCCCTATATTCTACTAATTAAAAGAATAATATTCATCGATAACCGCAGCATAAAATTTGAGACAGTCCTGGCATCCATCTCAATACATCTTTACATTTTACACCTCACTTATCATCTCTTTTTTCAAGGAGATCATTTTCCGGAAATAACATTCAGTACGGCTACCATTTATCTTTTGTCAAATATCTCATCCAGGCCTATACATAAAATTAGGACTCAGCTCCAAAAGGATTTAAAACTAGACAACATAACAGCTATAAGACTAATAATTACATGCTATAACAAAGAAATACCGGCAGCATAATGGTCATCATTATACATATAGGTTTGCTGAAAATGATTTAACTCATGCCATAAAACACATCATTATCTCACTCCAACGTTTATATCCGTTTGACTTTTGCATTCAACAAACTAACCACTTTCATGGGTTGAATATACAGAATCAGATTATAGATCTTCAATAGACGGTTAATGCAAACATGGAAGGCTAACCTGCGTATTTGCCTGGCTTCCTTTGGTGCCCAGACCCCGGTCCTTAACTTTCCTTAGGTAGCGTTCAACCGTTTTATTCACACTGAAGTATCTCCAAGGCAATGGAAAAAGCAGTCTTAACTTTCCTTAGATTTTCTTTTTTATCATACTAAAAATTAAAAAAATGTAGCTGCACGGATCTTGAATTATACAGCACCATTTAATTATGACTGGTATAATTTTCTATAGAGTTTATATTACATGCATAGAGTATAGATATAGATATAGATGCATATGTATTATATGTAGTGTAAGTAATAAGTAATTCCCTATGACACACTGTTATATCGTTAAACATAAAATTATTAAAAAATGATGCAACATACTACCTCCGAAACTAATTATAAGACCTTGTTTGTAGTCTACAAACAGGATCTTATAATTAAGACCAACTATAGTATATGTATATATAAAAGCTTACACCAGGAGGTTTTAATTATATAAATCCAAGAGAATTGGATTTGCATATATTTTTTTAACCTCGCTTATTGCATAACCAAAAGCATGGAAACCACACCCACATATTTAACACCATGTACAAGGTTAACTTTTACCGAATAATAGGGAACAGGAAATGCTGTAAGAAAAAGAGACAGAGTCCTTTATGATTATTTTAGAACCTCAACCACAATAAGATATGGGCGGATAATATAGATTCCTGGAAAAGCAAGGACAGTAGCTCTTATTTTGATACGTATCCACCTTGACTTGAACAGCCAACAGGGTTCCTACTAGTTTAAATTTAAATTTAATTTAATTGGAATTAATAACTTCTTGTGATTAATGAACAATATATCCGAATAGCTAACACATTGCGTTGTGTTCATCTTGATTGAATATTAATAACTGATACTCTTAATTTGCAAATATTTTAAGCTAGGCAGTATTTTTCGAATAATTTGTCACACAGAGTTTAAGGAATTATTATCAACACTTGAAATTTATTTTTATTATTGCTCCATATAACGTGAGGTAATATGGATGACGTTTAGCTAAAAATTTTCAACGGTGCCGTAGCAAAACATATAAACCTAGAATTAAAGACTGAAATGAGACGAGAGTAGTAATTTGAGAACTGAAAAATAGGAATTCGATAAATATATTTGACAGAAATAGAATTTTAGTTTTAATTCGCATATATTGATTATATAATTAAGTGAGTGCTGCTATTGATTACTGATATCGGACGTATTATATCTTTGTTCAGCTTTTTAAAGGCAAGAGTAGGTGGAATTCATTCACAAAATTATTTATTTTATACATCAAATAATCCGTTAATTTGACTCTTAAAATCTTCGAAAGGCCAAAGAGACCCCAGGATTTTCTTATAAGGGTTGAGACTTGAGAGACTGGAAAGGGATTGCGGTCAGGTCAACTAGTAGCTATTCATAGGCCACGTTTGGTAGGAGGGATTGAGGGGGAGGGCATGGGATTGGAGGAGGGATTGGGTGATTTTGTCATGTTTGGTAGGAGGGATTAAAGATTACCAGGATTGAGCAATGCCACATTGGTGGGATTATACAATCCCACCTTCCCCCTTGGTAATGCGTTTGAATCCTGGGACTAAAACACATAAAAGACACAAATACCTATATTACAATAATGTTAAGATAAAATATATATTTTGTTACAGGCTTGAAATATTTTATTTCAGACAGGAATATTTTGTTACAGACTTGAAATATTTTGTTTCAGATAGGAATATTTTGATAACTGTTTGAAGTGAGACATGGATTATCTTACTTGAACTTATATTACAGAAAATTATAGTAAAAAATGTCATTTGCTTCTTATCTTTGATCTTACATATTATTAATTTCAAAACACATTACTAAATTTTAAGAAAATTATAATTTTAAGGACCTAGTGATAACTTTTTCTAATAAAAATTTTATAATTTTAAGAAATTATCAATAATTCATCGGGATAAATTTTAAGGAAGCATTGACTTTTTTTTTACATATAAATTTGTTGGGATACGATAGGAAGCCATTTCTTTAATCTATTATTTATTTATTTATTATTGTAAAATGAGTAAAAATTTAATGTATTTATTTTTAAAACAATATATATGATTAGGCGGTTTCCTTTTTATTAGAAGAGGAGTGTATAAGGTTGGAGTCCTAAGCTCTAAGATACTGAGGGGTATTATAGTCTTTTAATTTTATATATCTTATTATAAATAAAATAAATACATGTATTCCTTCCACACATTACCTCCTACCAAACTTAAAATAAAAACCCCATTTCCAATCCCATTACCATTACCATTCCCAATTCTATTACCATTCCCATTCCATCAAAATCAATCCCTCCTACCAAACATGGCAGAGTAAACATGTGACCCAAAACTTTCAAGACCTTGTAAAGCTGTGTACCTACGTCCTCCTACAATGAAGCTTGGAATTCAACGGCTATCTCCACCTACCGTTTCAAGTTTTATCAGTCCTCACTAAAACTGCTGGTCAAAAAAGTCCTCACTAAAACAGTATGTCTATTTATGACTCTCTTGCTTCTTCAGTCCCTACCCTCGCTCACACTATAATCTGTATGGAAGTAAATCAGTTTCAATTAACCCAACCCTAAAAAAGTTAAATCAGGTGTGGACTTGAAGCAGATTTGACCTACAAAGGGTGAGCTTACAGTACGGGCTACTTGGCATAATAATTGAACCTGGAGCAGATCGATCAATAATATCAAAAGTTAAAAGTTGGTATGATCTTGTCACAGCGATTTCACATATAGCTTATAATTAAATTAAAATCCGTCAAAACCGATAAATAACTTAGTTTTAGTTTTAGTAATACTATTAGGTGTCGTTTTGGGGTTATTACAAGCAGAACGTACCTAGAACTGGCGAACTCAGAAAGCCTGCCTCTGGGCGAGAAGATAATGAGTGCAACTTCAGCTTCGCATAGCACAGACAGCTCGAAAGCCTTCTTAAGCAGCCCGTTTCTTCGCTTGGAGAAGGTGACCTGCCTGCTTGTATCATTTTCTATGCGTTTCATCTGAGTCTTTCCCCTCACCATCGTTTCAGACCTCTGGCCTTCTTAACCCTCAAATAAAACGATTCTCGCAAAAGGCGATTTGATTCTCACTATATATCTCCAACTGAAACGGACAGAAAGAAGTGGGATCTGGTTAGTTGCTTGCGATTTTAGATACGAAAAAACCAATAAAGGCACGCTAGTTTCAAGAAATATTCTAGCTTATTTCTCGCTTGCAAGTAGGAAGAGAAAGTATTTTCAAAATTTTGCTAAAATAAACGCGCAGAGCCCAGATGTGATGGGATTATCAATAACAGGAAGGTAGTAGTAAGCAAATCAAAACTGAACTTGCCTTCAGAAACCAGAAAATAAAATTTTATGGACACTCAAAATGAGCTCATGAAAATGACTAGCTCCGTCTTGGAAACCCTAGGAAAAATCTTCCTGGGGAGAAAACGGTGAAACAAAGCGAAATGGCTGATTGATTGATTGATTGTCTGCTCCAGCCACCCTCCCCTCTTATTCTAATATACAGACTCTAAGCATTATTCCCAGACCACAAATCTGGAGAACTATCGGAAATGGGCAAGTCACAGAACCTAATTTGCTTCCTTCTTTTAGCAAACACCGGAAGAAAAATTCGACCCTTCCCAAATCAAGGAAAAAAGAGAATAAATGCTCACATTCACCAACACGTGAATCGATCCCCGCAGAGAAGCTTTTCCCCAAGTGGAGGCACAATGGCTCGGTGCCATTGGCCGCCGTGACGACACGTGGGTGAAGGCACCGACAACTTAAGCTACCGGTGACAGATACAGGGACAAGAGCGGGCTGCTACAGAGAAACAGCAAACAACTCTGTCGGTTGCCAGTTATTTCGGAGCAGAGAAGTGCCGCAAGGGGTACTGGGGAATGGAAATACTAAAGAAACGCCGGTCCGTACGAAGGCTTGTACACGTCAATGAATTCGTACAATGCGTGGCAGCTTAGAGCCACTCAGGCAGAGCCAGCACATCAGGGAGCCACAGTGTCACGTGTCACCATATGGGTTGTTTGGGGAACGCAATTAATTAATATTAAATTTTGAATATAGGATGTAATTATACTACATTTGAAAATTTTATTCATTTTATTACAGCGGAGTATTTATTGTTGTTATTATTATGATTGCCCCTGCCTGTTAAGTACCCCTCTGCGTCCTGAGTCCTGACTGCTTAGAAGTTAGGACTTAGGACACAGTTTAGCTGGTGTAGGCTGGGGCAAAGTGGAGTCTATTCATTTAGCTTTTTTGTCTTATTTTATTTAAAGGTTAGCTTTCAGTCAGAGAAGCTGAGTGAGGAGTGGCTCAGATTGAGAAATGAAGCGAAAAAGCTTCGATTGTTTGGCCCATTTAACTTAAATGAACTGCAGGTGGACCAAGATGGCCCTCACAAGCACATTTTTGTTGGTCGATTTCTCCCCCGCATCCAATCCATATTGTTTCTGTTGAGGAAATAGTTTTCATGGGAATAAAAATAAGGATCACAATGGAAGGTTTGTTTTGTCCAAACTTCAAATCCCTTTGCTGCTTGATTCTGTTCTCCCTTATTTTCCTTCAGCAACATGGTATTATACGTCCGTACACTTGGGCATAATAGAGAAAAGCTCGTTGCAATTTTGTATTACATAGGGGGTGTTTGGCAAAACCAAAACCTAGGTTTCAGAATCACTTTTCCGCAAACGAGGTAACCTCCTCCACATATTTACTTCGTAATCCGTAAAAGCACTTCTGAAACCATGGTTTGGTTTCTATCCAAACACCCCTATAGAAGTGGTTATAAGAATATACTCGCGTGGCTTTAACGAGCTCACAAGTTTGGTACAAGTGCTGGACGGACGGTTTGGGCTAGCTCGTTCTTAAAAGTGCCAATGGGCAGCCTATTAGTGTTAACCCACAATTTTTGCCTCGTTTTTCTGCATTCAAAACCATAAAAACTTGAATTCATATCTATTGTCTACAATTTTAAGAATAGGATGGTGTTTCAATCTTGGCTTAAACAGAAGATAAAAGCACACAACACAGTGTGGAGGTCTATGGTATACATGCATGCATTTTAATTATATCAGGGATAATATTTTAATCGCCACCCTTCTTCTTTTGTGCGTTTTATACCTGCGGTGCCGTTTTATCACTCCTAGCCGTGGTTGACCCGTTCCCCCGATCATAAACGGAAGATTTCGGGCCCCAAAAAAAAAAAAAAGGATCATAAACGGAAGAAACTCTCTTACTCTTGTCGCGTAATGAAGGGATAACAAGTTTGTGGCTCTGATAATCCCCGAGTTGATACTTTCCCCACCCCAGCTAGCATAGTAAACCCTGCTTTGGTGTTAGTTTAGTAATTAAACACGTGTTCATCCATTTTCAATAAAAAAACAAAGATCGTGGATTGGATGTTCTGGGATGAAGATGAACATGACGAGGTTACGTAACTGAGGAAATGCAGGCGGTGGGTGTGAGAAGGTACGTAATGGAATAAATTGTATTTATTCAGCATAAAAATCATTACGCTCATAGTTATCCTATTGCATCTGACTATTTTTAATTTTATTTAGATTTATGTGATAAAATTAATCCAAGTATATGTGGAATGAGACTCACACAATTAATTATCAGCATCATTTTCTTAGAAATTACTACACTCAGTCCTAAATATAAAAGTTAATTGACTAATTTGAGTAGATTAAGAAAATAAATTAAGTTAGTTATTTGTAATAAATAGGTGTTGTCTTTCTTAAAATATCTTTGTTAATCAAGTTTATTGGCTAGAACTATTATTATTAGAAGGATTATCTTAAGAAAGAATTGATAAATATGAGAGATAAAGTGAATTTGGGTTTTATATTTAGAATCAAAATAAAAGTCAAATGAAGTCTTATATTAAGGACCGGAGGTATTATAAGTACGAGGACTAATGCCTATAATCAAAAAAACTGTAAGGATCAAATTAAAAAACAACAAAAAATCTACTTAAAAATCAATTGAAAATATTAGTTTTTCGTTAAAAAAAAATTCATATCATTCAATGGATCAAATTTTAATGGGCGAACGAAATGAACATGTTGCCTTTTCCATAGTTCAATTTCCTGGGCTCACCAAAAAGTTTTCTTGGCCCATAAGTCTTTTTGGTACAGGACCCATATGCATTGAAGAAGCCTTGAATAACAAATCTGGACACAGATGGGCCTAAGTGTACATCTTGATATAGATGGCCCATACCATATGCGCTTATCCTTATTCATTTGGCTCGTTATAATAAAAAAAAAAAACCGAAAAATTGCGTCGGCCATTATCGGCTGCTTAGGGTGAAAGTAATTAGTAAATACCAGCGCTGTTCTTGCTTTCTGGAAATGGGAAGTTAAAGAACTAAATAAAATGCGATACAAATTCCCATTGACATTGCCGTCAGCACTCAATAAAGTTTACTCCGTCGCCATTTTTCTTTTAATTTTCTGTTTTCTTTAATCCTAATTGGCCCACTCATCGCTGTTCTCTACCTAAGGACAACCCACGAACGTGAACCATCGTCTTCATCAGGCCGGAGAAAAGCTCTCTCAGTAATGGCGTCGTCTACCCCTAACGATGAGCAGAGGGATCAGGAGCAGGAGCAACCACAGCCGCCACAGCCGGAGGCATCCAAAGAGTTTATGCACAAGACCAAAACGATTCAGTTTCTTGGACGCACCACTCCAATCGTTCTTCAGAATGAGAACGGTCCCTGCCCTCTCCTCGCTATCTGTGAGGCTTTCTTCCATCTTCGGCTCTTCTATACATGTTTCTTTCTTTTTATTGGATTCTGAAGGCCCTTGTGCGGTGGTGTCTATTTCATAAGAAATTGAAATGTTTGAACGTTAGCTTCCTCCTCCATACCTCAATTACGCTGTAGGATTTCATTTCTTGGCACCAGGACGTATTGGTGCTCATTTATGAATGGTTGAGTGAAGTAGCAATATTATTCTCTGAGGGCGGCCGATTGATCTTAGTTGAAAGATTACTTATTTCCATGAAGGTCTTCCGTTTCCCGGCGTTATTTTATTTATTTTTACTGTCATAATCACTGTTGATTAAAGGCCAGTGCTCCTTATCGCATCGCATCCCATCCCTATTCATTTACCAACAAACATTGATGGTTTGACCTCAGGAGAGTGTCTGATTTTCTCCTCCAGTCATACTGAAAAGATCATCACAAAGGCAGGTGAAAAGAAGAAACTAAAGTTGAGCCTACCCCTAAGTACTTGAGATTGGTAATACAAATACAATACTTGGGAGAGAACTCACGTGTTCTATTTCAATTGTCGAAAGTCATTGTATGATAGCAAATTTCTTGTTCACCTTTACTTTCTTTCAGTCACATGTTTCCTCAATATTACAATGTCATTTTGATACAAAATAAGAGCGTTAGTTAAGATAGTTATAGGAATGGGTAGTTAATAGCTGTTGGATGTGCGTCCATATAAGGCATGAGGAAGTTTTGTGATTCAGGCTATAAGAATTGAGTTCAGTTTTCTATTTCTCTACCCTCTATCCGGTCCATCTGTCTGTCTGTCTATTTCTTCTCTTCTCTCCTTGTATTTCCTTCTGTCCTCTTCTTTTGTAACTCACTCTTGGTCTTCATCGGCCAAAATGGACCCCAATGAAGGGAAAGTTCATCAAGATTCTAGGGAAATTGCAGATTTCAAACTTTAGTAGTACAAGGAATGGTGTTGCTATCATCGTTGATGAAGAGCGGAAGTTAAAGGGATTGAGGACATAATCATATCTTTAATAATTATTGCTAGGAGGGATACTGTCAACATTATCAGTGCTTGTGTAATCAAGTGGCGGCAGAAAAACATCTTAAGAAAAGTTTTGGGAAGCCACGGAGAGGTTGGTTCAAGGCATATCACTTGATGAAGATATTTCTATTGATGGGGATTTTAATAGATATGTCGATGAGGAAGCGGGAGATTATGTGGTGGTTTTGGTTTTAGGAAGCTTCATTATGAAGGACAATCTATTTTTGATTTCTTCTTGACATATAATCTTAAGCTTGTCTATACTTGCTTTAAGAAGTGGGAGGAGCATTTAATCACATTCAAGAATGGAGCCTCAAAGTGACATATTGACTTCTTTTTGGTAGGAATCCTACAAAAGACTTTGTAAAAATTGCAAAGTGATTTCTGGGATAGTCTGACAACACAACATAGGATCCTACGCCTTGTTGTGCATATCAAGAGTAAAAAGCAAAAGCACCAACAGGTTTTAAATCCAAGAGTTATGCGGTGGTAGTTAAAGGGAGAGAAATGAGAGAAATCTTTTAGAAGAAGGGGTTTGGGAGTCACAAGGAGATGCTAACATCATATGGAAGGAAATGACTAAAAGGGTTTAGAAGGTTACTAAAGTAATTTTGGGAGGATTAAAAGGTCCTGGATAGAGAGATAAGGAGTGTTGGTGGTGGAGAAGCCAATTGGAAAGCAATTACAATTAACATTCTGGTCTAGTACCCAAACCCCAATCGAAGAACCCATGGATGGATCTTGATAACAAGAATTTGTTAATTAAAGGAAGAAAATAATAATTTTATTATTTTATCGAAGGATATTTTAATCATTACATTACTCTATCTTTTTATTTACAATTATAAATCAATTTTTTTAACCA